GGGCGAGAAGATGACAGACCTTGGGAACTAGGTTTCATTTTTTTCCCTGATCTTTTCTGACTCGCGTGACGTGCTTTGCTGAAAAGAAGGGTTTTTTTCTAGTCTGAAATGATTAAATGAAACTGCCTCTAGTCTGAAATGATCATTTTTTTAAATCATTGCATAGCAACCTCTAGCTGGCCAAATGAGTGGAAATTGATTTTTTTCACACCAGTTTTCAAAAAAGGTGATGCATTGCTAGTGTCGAACTATAGACCTATTAGCATCCTCTCGGCAATACCAAAAATAATGGAGAAAGTCATGTTCGATCAACTATATGATGCTTTTCAACCTGTCTTCTCCTCTAACATATCTGGGTTCCTTTTTTTGCACTCATGTTGTACTGCTCTTGTTAAAATGATTGATGCTTTTTGGTTTTTTTTGGATTAAAAAATGTCAACATGCTCTGTCGCAATTGATTTGACCAAGGTTTTTTTTTCAATATGCCATAACTTACTTTTAACCAAACTACATGCATACGGCGTCAGTCAAGGAGCAATGGAATTTCTACAATCCTACCTTTCCAACCGACAACAAAGAGTTAAAGTTAATGGAGTTCTGTCTGACTGGTCACCTGTCTTATGTGGAGTTCCACAAGGTAGCCTCTTGGGGCCACTCTTATTTGATATATTTATTAATGACTTAAATTTTGTTACCCGAATTGCCTCTCTGCGTCTTTATGCTGACGACACTACAACATACACCTCAGCTGCCAACACTACAGCATTAGAACTTTATTTTAATCAGGATCTTCTTTTTTTATCTACCTGGTTTTCTTCCAATTATCTGACAGTAAATCATACCAAAACTCAAGCCATGATTTTGGGACATTTTAATTACCAACCACTCCTTAGTATTGGCAATTCTAACATTGAAATTGAAAGCTTTCTGGAGGTCCTTGGTGTCTACACTGATAAACTCTCCTTCGAGGCCCACATATCTGCCATCTTGAAGAAGGTCTATGCTAAAATTGGAGCTTTGAGACGATTGAAGAGACTCGTACCTCCTGATGTTGCACTAATTTTATACAAGAGTTATATTTTACCCCATCTGGAACACTGTAGTCCACTTTTATTAGTTTTTTTTAAAACCCTAGCTAATAAACTTGAAGCTGCTAATTATTATGCATTGATTTTTTTTTTAAATGTCGGAAAAGACATAGATTACAACTCTATATTGTCAATAGCAGGAATGAACTCTTTGGAATTTAGAAGATATGAATAATCACTTTCATTACTATATAAATGTATTTTATACGTCCATTTCCCTTAAAAGGGAAATGGACCTAGTTATATTTCTGATTACTTTAAGTTCCGTGTTTCCACCACATTACAACATAAGGGGTGGTTTTTTTTACCTTGTTCAGTCCACCTATAACAACCAGTATTTCCATATTTTTTTTTTTTTTTAGATTACTCACTTATGGAATAAGCTACCTACATATATTAAACAGTCGTTTTTTTTACATATATTAAACAGTCACCCAATTTAAATGCATTTCATTACAATTTTTTTTTAATTAATCTTTTAAATTTAAGGTCTAGTTGTCTATGTAATTATTGCCTTTTTTTAATTGTTTTAAAAGTTCATGTGACAATTTTAGGCTTTGTGAGTATGTTTTTTTTATTAATATTATCTAGTTTATTATAGTTAGATAACAATTGTTCATTTCTTTTTTTGATTCTGTTTTTGTCATGCGTTTTATACATGAGCCTCTGGCTCAGATTTTTTTTGCAACCTCAATCCCACCCTATGACTTAAATAATTTGATTTTATTTGAAGTTCTCCTAGATTGTCCTCCAACGAAATCAAACATTAGGTGTTCACTACTCTTTCTTCTTTTGGGCATCAGTTGTAGCGTTCCAATAATACAATATCTGTGTAACCATTTTTTTGTTAAATACGGTTGAGAGGGTGAAAATAGCCAGCATGTACTTGTCCCCAGTCTCTTGCATCGTAGTGAAGATACGTGCCGCGTGAGTAAACAGTAGCAGAAGTACCATGATGAATGACAACTGGCCCGTGTGACCATTGCGGAAGTTTGTCGTGATCTGAGAAACCTGACGGAGGAAAAAACATTCCACGTCAGCAAGAACTGTTCTAAGTTTTGTCTCAGAAATGTTTGCCTAACGCTCTTGGATACCAACGAAGACAACATTTTTTTTTCCAGAGCCCTCTT